ACAATAATTTCACTTAGTCAAGGCAACACCTGCTTTTTTTTTCTCAAATACGTTAGCTTTTTGGGTTTTCCCCATTTTCAGAAGACCAAAAAAATGAAAAAGATCATTAATGATAAGAGGGATCAAACCGTGTAGTTGTATTATAGTTCGTCGGTGAGAGGCCCAATTTGGTCGCCGGGACATACAAACGACGACGTCGGTAGGAATCGTTTGAGAGCTATTGTTGTTCCAGAGAAGAAGCTTTGAGGGAAAAAGAGTTTAAATGATTTTAGGGTTCAGGTAGGAGAAAATATGCACACAACCCATAAATTACATTTTGAGCCCGAAAATTCTCACTTTGACCTCAAATTCTACTTATTAACCCTTCCTTATGCCTTAAAACTTATTTATACATGTATAAACCTTCTTATAACACTTCACCATCTCTCATAATACACCATAATTCTTGAATAGAAGAATTTCATAAATATTTCCAAGTGTTCTAAATTCAATTCTATCACTTCTAACTTCTTAATTAACCTTTTGACAAGTCAAATCCATCTTTAAAACTTCAAAAACTTTCTATAACAAAAGTTCATTTCTTAACTCTTAATAGAAATTCCTTTCTATTTCTTTCATCTTGGTGTTTTAAGCTTATATAAGCTTTCTTTAAGCTTATATAATACTCAAAGAATAAAACACAACTCAAATATTCAAGAATTAACCATAAAGATTAAAACTCACCTTTGAGGTTTGAGCTTAAGCCCACGGGAAGAAGAAATGAAGAAGGAAAAGAAGAGTTCTAGATAACTCTTCATATCCCACGTGCCCACTCTTAATAAGAGAAATAAAATATCTTTTAAAACCAATTACCATAATGCTTTTCACTTATTCCATAATTATGATTTAATCCAATACTGAAATAGTTCTATTTAAATTTTTAAACTTATCAATTTCCTCAAATTGATCTCAAATTTCAAAAATTCTCATTTTAGTCACTGACTCGGATTTCAGGATGTTACAAAAGGAGGACTATATATTTAACATTTTGCGGCGTTTATACAAAAAAATTCCACAATTGATTGCACTATTATGGCGTTTGTTAAAACAACGCCACTATTGATTAAAACTATTACGACGTTTTTCTAAAAACGCCACTATTGATTAACACTATTGCAGCGTTTGTCTAAAAATGCCACTATTTATTATCATTATTGCGGCGTTTTAGGAATAAATGCCACTATATGTGTAATCTATTGCGGCGTTTGTGGTATAAACATTGCTAATTTACCGATCTATTGCGGTGTTTTGGCTAAAACGCCACTATATATTAATCTATTGTGGCGTTTGTGGTATAAACGCCGCTAATTTACCACCCTATTGCGGCGTTTGTTGTAAAAACGCCGCTATATGTCAACTCTATTATAGCGTTTTTACAACAAACGTCGCTAAAGTATGAATTTGTGGCGCTACGATTGTAAACGCTGCTATATGTTTAACTTTTGTGGCGTTTTATCTACAAATGCCGCTAAAAACCCCGCTAAATATCAGTTTTGCTGTAGTGTGTATAGATAAATATCACCATGCAACACGTCTACAATCGCCGTGGGAGAGTTCTGGAGCTTTTGAAGACTAAAAGGCAAAATCCATGTTAACTTAGACATACCATCCATTGCCTTATTACACTCTCGAGGCACATATCTGAATGAAAAACCCTACTATCTATTACGTGGAACCAGTCCCATTTCTGAGATTTTGATCACCTTCAGGCGAACCAAAAAAAAATTAAGCTCATAATCAGGAATTTAAGTTACAATTTATATTTGTGTCTTCGGTCGCGTTACGTTTATCGTTATTACGGACATAACACATGATATTGTGGTCATTGCAAGTATCGTGATTGTGAATTTTTAATAACATATGCTAGTGTGGAAATAATGATTGTGGATATTACGGTTTCGAACGATATTGTTATTATTGCATAATGATCATCGTTGTGGTTACAAACCGTTATTTAAGTAATTGTTTCTAATAACAAATGTTGGAAAAAAAATAAATTTTAAAGGCAATTCCATAATGACAAGTTTTAAAAAATTAGATCCCTAATAACAAATATTAAAAACAAATTTAAGAGTATGCTCATAATAACAAACACTAAAAAAATTGAGCCTCTAATAAAAAATATTGAAAAAGTTGGACTCGTAATAACAAATAAATATTAGAAAAGAAATTAAATTTTAAAAGTATGTCCCTAATAAAAAAAATTGACCCCCTAATAATAATAATTGAAAATAATTAGGCCTTTAATAAAAAATGTTAAAAAAATATTGACAAAAAAAGGGACACTAATACAAATATTAGAGAAAAATAAACTATAAGAGTTAACCCCTAATAATAAATATTAGAAGAAAAAAAACTCATAATAATAAATATTGAAAAAAAAAACTAAATCCTTAATAACAAGTATAAAAAATAATTGGGCTCTATAATTAATATAAAACTATTTTTTCATAAGTATAATATATAATAAAAAAATATGGGCCCTAGGCAGGTGCCCAGATACGGCCCTGTGTGGAACCAAAAAATATTAGCTGACCCTATTCTTATATGTAATGGAGTAAGGGGGAGGTAGGATAGTAGGCTGCCCCCAACGCCAGGTTGAGAGCAGCTTCCGTGAGAGATCTTCGACAGTCAGAATTATGAATTGTCAACCGTGGGACTCGATCCCACAACCATAAGATTAAGAGCCTTGCGCTCTTACCAACTGAACTGGACGGGCGATGAAATAATGTGATTCTCGGATCTTTATCAAGCTAAGTGAAGGCCTTCTTACTATTGGTCTCGACAATAATCTCCTTCATATCTAAATCTCATTCCTCCATAAATGCCCTAAAACTCTGCTTTAAGTACCGAGTAGCAACCTACTGATTTGAAGAAGTCTAACACCCATCCTCCTACATGGTCACTAAGAATGCCACCAAATCGGAATCCATTCTCCGTGCATCGGCCGTGTTCAACTTGATACAACCATTAGAAGGAGATTCCCATCTAGCATTTCTTCGGTTAAATTGTGCACTGCTACTGATCGGCCATCCTTCCTTCATTTTTGTTGTTGCCTGAATTGCCTCACCCAGCTAGCATGTGTCTACCTGTATGTAAAAACACTTTCAAATATCCTTTTATTCCGACAGATCCAATAGACACCATAATATCACCCCAAAGAACAAAATGATGATGATTGGGAAGCAACATTTGGAACGCAGGTTGCTCTCAATCCAATCCTCGAAGTCCATATTGTAAAAAATCATTCAAATTCTCCGGTTTTACAACCGCATTCCATGTTGTTATTGCTTTTGGTATATTCTTTGTTTTTGAAGTTCTAGAGTTCAAATACTTCAAGATACATAAAGTTAACAAATTTCTCAAGCAAAATGTTGTTATTTCGATTTTTTGGGCACCAAAACTGTGTTCTTTTGGTGTGATAGTCACATCATCGACCGTTAGCAATGTCATTTTTTATGTTACCGACTTAATGGTTGAGTAACATAATTGAATGTAAAATCAAAATTTAGTGTTATAATTAGTACAATTAGTAGCGATTTGGTGCGACAGCCGTATCATCGACCGTTAGTCATGTCATCGTCCCATTATCGATTTAACGACAGAGTAACATAATCTAATGTAAAATTAAAATTCAATGCTATAATTAGTGAAATTAAAAATCTAATGGTATATACGAATTAACGGGAAAAGTTCAATGATACATAGCATAATTTACCCTTAAATAAACATTAAAGATGTCCAAACCTGAAGGCAATGGAAGATGATGGAAATTCATGATTCAAATCCCACGCACTTTGGGTAAATTTTTTGCGGTTGAGCGAGAAAGATGGCTGTTTATCCTCCATAAAAGCATCTTCCTTGCTTAATATTTATGTAAACAGGCAATTTATTTTTTTCGTCTTCAGCCCTTGTTTTCAATCAAGCAAGTCATTGCTGAAGACCACGACTGCAGCAGGAGAGTCTGTTTCCCACTCGTGGTCCTTAGCAATTTCGTTTAGGGTTAACTATACTATAAGTCACCCAACTATTTATACTTTTCTCCTTTCGTCATCAAATTATTTTGTTTTTATGGTAAGTTCATAATTAAGGTTAAGTTTTTTTTTTTTTTAAATTCAGATTTGATTATCTCATCAAGGTAAGTTTTTTGATCACGTTATCCTAGTACAATAATAATTTTATTTTTAAAATTTATAGATTTTGTCAATTTGATCTTAATTCGAGGTATTTTATTAGATTTGCTTTTGAAAAAAAATATCATTAGCTTCAATTTTTCAAGCTTCAAAGGCCCTGGGTTTTCCAGGTATTGTTGAAATTTTTTTATCTTATTCGAAGGTTTTAATTTTTTATGTCATTGAGAAATTTTAAGTTTTTCTTAATTCCCTTTTTAGAAAATTTGCCAAACTTTTTTTTACATCAGATCATCTCTCCATGTTCGTTGAATTTTCAACGGACGATGATCAAAATTAAAGACCATAATATTAGAGATGATTTTGTCAAAACAAAATGTTTAATGATCAAAGTAAAAGGTGGTAATAGTTAAATGCCTAACGTTGTAATTTACCTTTTTTTTAATAATGTAAGTTCTTTGCCACCCTTTATTTTTTGATTTTTCAGTACAAAGTTGTTAAATTCTCTACGTTGATGAATAACTTATCATTAATTTAAGTATATTCGTTGGAGTGTCTGGGCCTTGTTTATCTAAGGGAGGTTTATGCAATTCCTGGTTGTGTAGAATTTGTTTATCTAAGGGAGGTTTATGCAATACCTGGTTGTGGCTAGAATTTGTTTATCTAGCCACTGTTATTTCCTCATTGAATTTCTGTAAGTCAATTTCGATCCCTTTGATTTCTTTCTCATTATTTCTTTTCTCGTTCATTGGAAGTTTTTCCACTTTGCATGCATGAAGACATTGTCACAATTCTAAGAAGGTGGTGAAATTCCAGCCATTTAAGATTTTTCTTTTTTAAAAAAGGAGTTCTTGAGGAAGTTTGAACTTGGTGCACACCGATTGCTTGTTGGACTGCCACACTGTATTCATGGCGGTTGATGGCATTTTGAGTATGTGGAACAATATGGGAAAGTTACCCCTTTTCATATTCTTCAGAGATTCAAGGTATTCTTCATTTCCAACTAGTATTTGTATTTTTTATTTTTCTTTAAGTCTGCTATATCCTTCTGCAAATTTAAACGTTTTGCTTGTTGCTCAAGCCTTAAATGGAAATCAAATAATTTGCTTCTGCTTTTAACCTATTTAGAAAGTTTAGAAACGATGATCATGGTTGAAACCAAAAAAGAAGAAACACTGTGACCGTCTGAACCATCACTTAGGCCGTTTTATTGCTCTTTGATCATAATAATTTGCAGGAATGTTCTGAAGAAGGATGAACTAGGCATAGAAATAGCGAACATCGGATTACCTGCAACATTTGCTTTGATGGCAGATCCTATTGCTTCTCTAATAGACACGTCATTCATTGGCCGCATAGGTTTGTGCTCACTTTCTTCTGGCGTGATTATGTGATGCCGTTATTATTATTGTTATTGTAGGGTATATATGAGACTTGTACACTTGCGAAGCTAAAGTCAGCTTATTTTTATTCCATGATTCTCATATTCGGATCTGTGTCGCATACGAGTATATTCATTATGATTCTGGAAATAGAAGCTAGGCATCCCAAAGATGACATCACTAGGGTCTGTCAATTTATAAGTTCTGTTCATATAGTTTCTGAATCATCAATGTCTTGGTCATCTGTTTTGATATGTAGCTGATATTTGCGATTCTCAGATACCATTTAGTTACTCTACATGATTACGAATGCCTGAGATAATGTTTTCGTTAATGATTGACTTCCGAGCTAATAATTGGTTATAAGATTTGATTTCATTCTATACATATAAATCTTTTCATATAGGTGCCGTGGAGTTAGCTTCTGTAGGAGTTTCGGTTGCAATTTTTAATCAAGTATCAAGAATTACCATGTTGCCACTAGTCAGTATTACCACTTCGTTTGTTGCTGAGGAAGAAGCTACTAGTAAATATAGTACTGAAGCAGAAGATGATGAAAATGTTCGTAGTAATCATGATATGGGCCAGGAAATGGTGCCTCTAACTGGTATGCTTTCTACATACACTACCTGCTTTTGTTGAAAGGCTAATCTGAGTTTTGATAAATTGCATTCATAGACAAGGTTCTTTCACTGTCTTGATTATATCTGCTACATTTAGCATGTTTTGGCTTATCAATAATTTTATCATTGAGAATATAAATGTCATATGTAGGCAACAGTGACATGAAAATAGCCAAATCTGAGGACAATAGAAGGCATGTACCGTCAGCATCTTCAGCTCTGTTAATTGGCTGCATGCTTGGAATACTTCAAACTTTGTTCCTTATTTCCACTGCTAAACCTCTCTTACATTACATGGGCGTAAAACCTGTGAGTGTTCATTTTGTAATTCTATTATTGGTATTTAAACGTTGATTCTCATTTCATGTATAAGTTCGAGCATATGTGTGACTAAAGGCTCATTTCATTGTTGTTTTTAAAACAGAGGTTATATAGAGTTTAAATTTTAAAATAGCTCTTAACCTACCATTTTTTCTTCGTTGTCATAAAGTTTCATTTTTTGTTACTGAATTGCAAGGCGTTTGGTATCTTTTCTGATAAATCAGTGAGAAGAAAGTGTATCTCTCTTCTGGCATATGTTGGTTTTATACAAGGTTCTTGGTTTAGTTTCGGAAACAGCAATTGCCTAGATTGGATTAGCCTATTGAAGTGAACTTATCCGAATTGATCCCCAAGAATCTAAACTGCTGCATCTGTAATATTTCTCTAATTTTTTTAGCTTTCTACTTTTCTGTTAACAGCAATGATACTGCTTTTGCTTTGTCCAGGAATCTCCTATGCTCAAGATAGCCCAACAATACTTGACATTACGATCACTCGGTGCTCCAGCTATTCTTCTTTCGTTAGCTGCTCAAGGTGTTTTCCGGGGATTAAAGGATACTAAAACTCCCTTTTATGCAATCAGTAAGCAAGCTTCCATTTTAATCAATGTTGATATTGTTGGACATCGAAAGCAGCTTGTGAAGGCTTATTCGGACAATCCCCTTGAAAGGAATTCACTGAATGGAACTCTTTATCATTTGGCTGCCATTGCAAAACCAATTTCATATCCTACTTGTCCTTTTGGATTCTTAATCATGCATTATGAACGTGAAACATTATCGTACAAGGAAACTCATTATGTATCATAGTTTGTGAGCAAACTAATCCTCATAGTTGTTTGCAATTGCTAATGCAGTCATTGGAGACTCGGCTAACATTCTTCTGGACCCCATATTTATATTCACACTTCGTTTGGGTGTCAATGGTGCAGCCATAGCTCATGTAGTTTCTCAGTAAGTTATTTTCATTTCTTTGGTCCATTGGCCGCATCATCTGTCTGGTCTTTTAATGTGTCTTCATCTGGTTAATCACTTGGTGCATTGTATTTGTAGGTATTTAATTTTTCTCGTACTCATTTGGAGATTAGTTGAAAATGTCATTCTGTTGCCTCCAATTTTTAAAGAGCTACAATTAGGTCGATTCCTCAAGAGTGGTGAGTTCTTTAATTGTGGTTACTTAACAAACTCAAAAGGATGTTTCAATGTTTGAAGTAAAATCGAATTCGATCGTTTCAGTTGGACTATGTAATTCAGTTTTTGTTCTCTTCAACTTTCTTTCCAGTTGATTTATCTCAATTATAGGGAGAAAGAAAATGATATAGAACAATTGCAGGACCATGATATGTGTGATGTCACCACTTCAGGATTTCAGCTATTGGTTAAGGTAATATCCACAACATCCTGCATAACCCTGGCGACTTCATTAGTGGCTAGGCTGGGACCAAAACCGATGGCTGCATTTCAGGTTTGCCTGCAGATTTGGATGGCAACCTCTTTGCTTGCCGATGGACTGGCTGTTGCAGGACAAGTAAGATTTCATTTTAATTTAATGAACAACCCTTTTACATCATGTTTGCCCCTCTACATATTTTTACAACTTCTTCTCTTAGAATCCGGCTTTGTTCAGAACCAATCAAAATCATGAGCTTCCTTGCTTTCCCTTCATCTCTTTAAGCCATAGAATATGCTCTGATTACATAGTAGAGATGGTGGCTGGTGGTCGCGAATATGGTGCCATACGTCCGTGTATGGAAGGTGTTTTTTAGACCAAATAGGGGTGCTCTCATATGGAGGGGGAAAAGAGCCCCAAAGACCTACTGAGATTAAGCTCACCGCACCAATGTTGACGCATAAAATGAGAGATAGACGGTTGGTGGTGGTCGTATGCAGTTTATCTTGCCTTATTTGGACGAAGAGCTACTGATATAATAGCATAAGTCCCATCATGGAGGGTATTTTTAAAACAAATATGAGTGCTTTGATATGGAAGGGGAAGAAAGCCCCTAGACACCTGTTATAAGGTGGCATTCATAAGATAATTATTGATGATGATTTATGGGATTCAGATGAATCTTACATATTTATTTATTTATTTATTACGAGCATAATAGACTCAAAACTGCAATTACATTATTTTTCCAAAGAGTAAAGTTCGACATAATTCTTATCTTTTCCAGGCAATCCTAGCAAGTGCATTTGCGAGAAAAGATTATGAAAAGACAGTGGCTGCTGCTTCTCGTGTGTTGCAGGTACTAACATTAAACTTCACTTGTTTCACCTTGCTTCATGCTCTAAATTCTCCTTGTGGTAATCTGTCTTCAGATTGGTCTTCTTTTGGGGCTTCTGCTATCATTTTTTCTAGCAGCTGTATCACGATTTGCTTCGACTTTGTTTACGAAGGATTTCGATGTTTTGAACCTCATGAACATCAGCTTTCCAGTATGGCTCCCTCAATCAAAATCATAAGAATATTCTTTTTCTTTCCTAGACTACTAACATGTTGGCTCATCATCATTTTCTTGTCGATCAGTTCATTGCAGTAACTCAACCTATCAATGCTTTAGCCTTCGTTTTCGATGGAGTTAACTATGGAGCTTCGGATTTTGCTTATTCAGCCTACTCCATGGTTAGTTCATTTCTAACCCCACCCCCAAAATTGCTGAATCAAACCATAAGATCCAACAATGTTCAGACCATTTTCTATCCCATTTTTTTATATAATCATCTTCGTCTTTGATCATGTTCCTAGGTTGGGGTTGCGGTTATGAGCATCTCCTGCTTGTTCATACTATCCTCCAGCCATGGCTATATTGGCATCTGGATTGCTTTGACCATCTTCATGTGTTTACGTGTGTTTGCCGGTCTTTTGAGGTGATAATTCCATTTATTTTCCATTTTTTCTGTTTCTGAGGAACCAAACACATAATTTTTCGCTTGATTCGGGAAAAATCCGTATGATTCTAACACTTCCCATTGTTCTTCAGGATAGGAACTGGCATGGGACCATGGACCTTTCTATGGAGCTGAGTGCTTCAAATGCTTGTTTAGGAAAGACAAGAGGATTGTGAATAGAAAAATGTACCAGTTTGTTTTATTATATTTGTAATACAGAGTTTGAATAGTCAAGAGCTCCTCATCAACTAACACATCCAACTCAACCCAACTTGCTTCTTTATGGTATGCCTTGCAATCAAAACAACAACATTTTGGCTCACGTATGCATGCAAGTGAAACCAATCCCAACATATAAAAAGTTGGTAAAACAATAATAAGAGAATCTAAACTTGTTCACCAATCAAACTTCAAATTTTATCTTCTTTTCCTTTCTTTCCAAGCAATCTGTGGTTTCCCTTCACCTTATAATCCCTTCAATTTCCCATTGTTTCCATTGCTAAATCAAAAATTTCCTACAATGGCGATAACAAAGCAAAACCTAGGCCTCATCTTCAGTCTCTCATTTCTCTTCTTTTTCCTTCTCCATTGCTCAGCAACTTCAGCTCAAGCTCCAGCTCCGGCACCAATGCCACCTGGTCCGCCGGACGTCACCAAAATCCTTGGAAAAGCAGGCCAATACAGCATCTTCATAAAACTACTAAAATCCACCCGAGTCTCCTATCGTCTCCTCGGTGAGCTCAACAACACGGGAAACGGGAAGACGATTTTCGCACCGACGGATAAGGCTTTCTCGAGCCTGAAATCCAGTGCGCTGCATTCAGTCAACGATGAACAAAGGGTTGAACTTGTGCTATACCATGTCGTCCCAACTTACGTCCCATTATCCCAGTTCCTTATTGTTAGCAACCCTATGAGAACTGAAGCCGGAGAGAGTGGGAACGGTGAGTTCCCTCTAAACGTAACCACTGTAGGGAAAACGGTGACTCTGATGACGGGGCAGACGAAAACCGATGTCGCCGGAACCATTTACGCCGATGGTAAGCTTGCTATTTATCGGGTGGATCAAGTGCTTCAACCTTTGAAAATCTTCGCTCGTAACTCTTCAGCTCCTGCACCTGCACCGGGGAAGTCTCTGGTGGGTGGTGATGTTGGTGAGAAGTCTGAAGCTTTGAGCATTGGCATTCATAATCTAGCTTTGTTTGCACTTAGTGTTACAACTTTCGCGCTTTCTTTGTGATTTTTCTCTATGGGTTGAGGATGACAGAGGTTGTGATTTCTTTGTGAGTGCATGTTTTCCAATAATATCTGTAAAAGAATTCTCTTCTTTTTAATGCAACTTCTACTATTACTTTCCTTTAACCAAAATACCTTTTTCCCAGGTAAATAACATCTGTAAAAGAATCAAGGAGATGCATATTGTGATAATTAGTTATAAATTGTGTTATAATTATCTGTATCTTAAAATTTAAAATATCATAGAGTGATAAATTGACCCAAATCATAACATCAGAATAAACAAATATAACCAGTGATACATCACATGGCTTAATTATGCACATTTTACCATTTCGTTGTTAGATTGAATAAAACAACAATTAATTTAGGATAGGCTTATTTATTATGGTTAGATTTTTTTTTTGAAATATATTATGGTTATAGATAATTTTTTTAATGCATGGGAAGAACCAAAGAAGGTTAATAACCAGCGGCCTCAGTCATATCTTTGCTCAACGGAGAATCAACCGTTGGTGGAAGAGTGTTGTCTCAAGTTAGACCAAAAGGAAGCAGCCAAGCATTCTTCGCCATCACATCAGTAACTTGATTACATTCACGCACGACATGCGAAACACATAGAGACCAGTCTCGAGAAAGCAAATCACACAAATAATGGATCAGGTGAGAGATTCGTACCATCGTCACTCCTTGTCGAAGCAACATAGCCGCCTTGGCAACCCAAACTCTCAGGCAACCGATAGGCTTCAGCAAATGCCACATAGTTCCGCCTCACAAAACGCCTCCCTAAAGCTTTAGAAAACCATGTGATCCAATTATCATGTGAGTCCTGGATAACACCTCCAAAAGTTGATAGACCCGCAGATGAATTACGAGCATACAAGGAAAGATTAAAACTTAACCAAGAAAATCGAATAAAGATAGATACAAATAGATCTGACTGAATCGGCAAGAGAACCGCAAATGGAAACAAAGCTACTGAAAGACCACCGACAAACCGCAAATCAGACTCGAATCACTTGAAAAACTATCCATGAACACATAACAAATATATATCCAAATTCAATTCGAGGGTTAAAAGACAAAAAAATCAACAAAGATACTTAGAAGTACGAAGACTAAATATAGGATTTACCTTTTTATTTTATTCACACGATGAAGGATTTATTATAAATCTTTCACCCAAAATTATGAGCAACAAATCACCATGCACTGAAGGCACAAAATATACATGAAACAATAAAATACTTTCAAAATATAAACATGAAATAGTTTTTGTATTATCCATGCATTTATTAATTCTTCAATATGAAATAATATTAGATAAAAAATAATTAATTTTAAGATTTTTTATCGATCAATAGAAAATATATATTCGATCAATAACTTATTTTAATATTTTAAAGACCGAAATATAAGATTTGAATCTAAATCTAAATTATAATGGAATTAAAATAAATATATTATTGATATTTAAATAAAAATATATAATGCACTAATATATCAAAAATTAGTATAGAATTTCTTTATTTGAATTTTGATGCATTGACATGGTTGGAGATATAATCTTTATCATCTAAAAAAAGAGTCGTAGATGATGAATATGATATTCGGTGTAAATAAATTATTGTTTCTAGCAAGTCAAGCTGATAACATTTTATAAAGAGAAAATAACCTCAGTGACAAAAAATGCTTTATAATATACGATTTTAACCAACTATTTTTGGATTTGCCAAAATGACCAACTAAATCGTAATGCGATCGATAATTCGCAACGCGATCTCCGGTATCGCAAATCAGTTTCCAGATTCGCAACGCGATTTTGACTATCGCATTGCGATTTTCCAAATTCGCGTTGCGATTTTCCGACTATCGCAATGCGAATATGTAAATCGCAATGTGATTATGACTATCGCAACGCGATTCTGACTATCTCAATGAGATTCTGATTATCGCAACGAGATTCTGACTATCGCAACGCGATTCTGACTGACTATCGCGATGCGATTTTCAAAGCGTCATTATTATCGCAACGCTTATTTTTTTTTTTCAAATTCCAAACACGAATATTAATATATCTGAACACAAAACCGTCCACAGTATATCCCGTAATCGCAACTCATAACCTAAAACACTAAATCACAACTCAGTCCCATCTCCATCTCTCACACTCTAAGGCGACATCCGTCCCCATCTCCGACGAAATCAGTCCCCATCTCCGGCGAAATCCGTCTATCTCCATCTCTCATAGCTACCCTCACAATCATTCACGGTCAGAAATGGAAAATCAACCAAATCAACCACCGAGGGTTAGTTTTTTTAATTATTTTTATTTTGAAATTTTTGCATTATTATTAGGTTTTTCATATTGAAATTGATGATAAGTTTACTGGTAATTTCAATAATAGATTAACCATTTCATTTAGATTGCTTATTAAATTCATTCGATTGCTGCCAATACTGCTAAACTGTTTAGTCTTTAAACCCTGTGAATTTAGTATTTGTCTTTGTTTTGTCTTTTGGTTGAAGTAATGCAATCCATTCAAGTTTCAATTTTAGTATTTGAAACCGAGAATCGCAACGTGAAATGAAAATCGCAACGACAAAATTGCAATGTGATTTTAGTTTCGCGTTGCGATTTTCATTTCGCATTGCGATAGTCAAATTCGCGTTGCGATAGTCATTTTCGTGTTGCGATTTTCATTTTCGTGTTGCGATTTTAAGTTTCAGAAACTATTCTTCTTCTGCAAATTGAAACTTGAATGAATTGTGTCGAAACGATTTTTTCTGAAAGGTGAAAAAGTGAGATTTTAAAAAACCACATTAATTTTTAATTTACCTCTTTCAATTGATTTTTAATTTAAAAACAAATGCGATTTAAAAACCTCTCGTTTCGAAAAATTTTGGATTTCCTTTACGATCGAAAAAAATACGGTTCAAAGAGTCGCCACCAATATATGATTAGGGTGTGATTGGACACCTAAAAACATTTTGTCATTTTAAATAAAAATTAATTTTAATTAAAACAACAAATTGAGGTATGCGTTACCAAAAACTGAGTTCGGGAGTCGATTACGTGTGGGGAAGGATTAGCACCCCCACAACACCCTAAATCGGTACCTAATCGATTAATTAACGTCTTTGCAATGAACTTTATAAATTCGAATTTAATTTAATTTTTGATCCCGTAAAACAACAAAAAAGTGAATTTTACAATATTCAAAAATACTCAAAATAATTAAATTAAAATTACCAAGTTGTTTTAGAAAGATAAAGAATGTTCGATTATTTATAAATATCGAGACCAGATCTTAAAGATATAACAACCTTTTCTCGATATATTTAAATAAACGAACATTTCTTTTTCTCTCGTTCCCAAATTTTAGGTGACGAATCAATTTTTTAGTTTCACTTTAGGGATACACTTTTATTTTAAAATCATTAAAAGCAGATCTCAAATCAGTTATGACTGCCAACTTACAACAATTTTAAATTAAAAGGGTATTACCCTTAATCTAATTATGTAATATGTCGAGTTAAGCAAATGAGGTTATCATGCATATTATGCAAAATAATGTCATGCAAAAATTAATTTAAAAAACATTAAAAATATCATACAACGTAGCATACAAAAAATTATATACGTATATTTTAATTACAAATTATAAACTATGCCTATTAATATACAATGTACAAATATGACTCAAATATAAAAACAAAAACATAACATGCTAAACTAAAAATTTAAAAAGTATATACATAAATGTAGTGACTAAATTTGAAGAAATGTAAAATTCAGCTTACAAATCAAAAATAAACCAAGGACCTAAATATAAGCATACACATAAACAAGGGACCTACACGTGAAAAACCTAACAAAATAATAACTAAAATTAAAACTGGAAAAACAACAAAATTAGGACAAACACAAAAAGGTTAAATTCTAAAGTAGTCCTAAAGGTGACTAAAGTGTAAATATATGACTACATTACAAGGGCACCAAAGCAAATTATCCTAACATTTAGATGGCTGGAAACTAATTAACCCAAAACTATTAATAAATAAAACCTAAACTAAGTAAAGGTCTAACCTAATTATACACAGAACCTACCCAACCTAACGCTTCCCTCTTTTCATTTCTTCTTCAACCCTCCCCCTCTATTACTACGCAAGCTACTGACCAGAAAAGGAGACTGATTGTCGCTCTTCTCCTTCAAACACCATTGCCGTCGAGAGTTCTCCAGACGAAAATTGCAAAGACATGTAAACTCACTGTTCTCTCACCATTTTCTACTTATTTAGAAATAAAAACATTCATGGAAATTGCTAGCAATTAAATTAAAGATAGGAAATACCAAGAAAATTGCTCCTTGCTTAATATTGCTTTCCTGAAAAATGAGTCTGTTACACTGCTTGATCTCTTTCTCCCTATATGTTTTTTGTTATTTTTTTTTAGAAATCGTCTCTGATTCCTCTCTCGCTTTTTTTGCTCTCTAACTCTCCCCCCCCTCGTTTTTTCTCAACAAGTTGATGAGTGGTTATTTCCTTAAAAAACTGACCATCCCCCTCCATTTACAGTTTATTTCCCCCACGTAAAAACTGCACATTTCAGTTTTTATTACCCACGATGAAAAAAAAAATAAAGAAATGGCCTCCACATTTTCTTTTCTGGTTTTTAACCCCCAAAACTGTTTTCATTTGCAAGTGATATGGGCCCCGGACAAATCAAACATATACAGCTGCCCCTCTTTGCTTATTGTCGTGTAACGAGAATAGAGCAAAGATTAAAAGATGGTCAAATTTGTCCGGCCATGAGAACTTCAAAAGATTAAAGCACTTCACTGTTAATTCGGGATAAATGAAACTTGAAAAATCTTCAAATGACGAGTCTGCTCTCTATTCCTTCAGGAAGTATAAGACTCGAACAATCTTCATAAAACGTGTCTGCTCTCTATTCATTCAGAGAGTATAAGACTTGAACAATCTTCAATAAAACGGGTCTGC